AGAGTATTGATGTGAAATGTGTATATAAAAAATAAGAAAAAGTTTCGAATTTGCGTGTAATATTATTTTATTGAAGAATGTGTGGTTGAAATTATGTCAAAACACTTTTGAAGAATTTATTTTCTCCAAAAAAAATGGGGATCAAACAAGGGCATTATAATAGTTGCTGGCAATTGCAAGGAGACAATCAATCAATTAAAATGCTCTCTTTATAACCAATTCAAAATCAAAGGAAATGCTCTATTGGCTCAACTCCAGTTAGAATTCATCTAAGACCAAAATGTAAAATTTTGTAAGGAAGAGGGAGATCTTCTCCCTGAGCCTACTCCCTGAGCCGAGGTAGAGTACAAGGTAGTGGCCACTGGCCAGTGCAAGTTGTGAATTAACTTGGCTTAGTTATCTATTAAGGATTTACATATTTCACATCCACAAATAACAAATTAGCTATACATATTGCTACAAACCGTCTTTCACCAAAGAACAAAACATATAGAGATAAACTGACACTTAATTCGGGATAAAATTCAAGAGGGGAGCATTTCAACAGAACATGTGACAGCAAATCTCAAGTGACAGATATCCTTACCAAGAGCTTAGCCTCTCAAAACTTCTATTGATGTATGTTCAAGACGAGAGTAATGGACATCTACTGTCCATTTTACGGGGGCTATTGAGGAATGAAGGTGAAGCTGTTCAGCTGGACAAAAGAGAAGCTGAGCTTGATAGAAAACAAGTGGAATTAGAGAAGAGTACACATCAATATACATATAGTCAGCTTCCCTTGACAGAACAGCAAGTTAAGAATTCTCTAGAATAGAGGCAACTTGGTATTCTAGAAGAAGGATGGAAGAAATATTGGTTGCAAAGTTGGTTGCAGAGCTATTACGTAAAATTGCATTCTTGATGTATTTATATTTGTATAGAATAGTTTTGCATTTGGATATTCTTTTTTATACCTTTTTCTGTAGTATTAATATTCCATTAAGAAAACTAGAATAAATACAATGTAACTTTTCTCTCCATTGAAAGTTCTTCCAGTTCATCAATTTAAAATTTATAATTCAAAAGTTAATAACTTTCAGTTAAACAAATAGAAAATAAAATGAAACAAAATGAAAAAGACCCAACCGCCTCTTTCTCAACCCCAACCATCCGACGAGGTTGTGCGAAAAAAATAGGGAAAGAGACTTGAGTTGCAAAAGAAAACCTCTCAAAATCTTCCTCAATTTCTAGTAGCTTTTTTCGGCTAGTTTTTATTTATGGGGCATTTATAAAAAAGTCCAATTTTACATATATCAATTCAAAAATGTCAACTTTTTGATAATTTTTGCAAAAATGGTCAAATTTGATACCAAATTCTCTATTTTACCTTTAATAAAAGAATAAATAATTCCATATTGCGCATGTCAAATCACAATTAATGCTAAACACGAAAAATTTCGAGAACAACATTTAAAGTGTAGAGAAATGTCATGTTCGAAATGAAATGTCATTTTAAATATTTAATATGTCGAAAACAACGTTTGAAATGTCGAGAACATTTAATATTGTGATCTGACATGTGTACTTTTGAAATATAAATGGATTCAAATATCGAGAATGACATTTGAAATGTCAAGAACATCATTTTAATATAGCTTTTCATGGAAGCTACTTAAGGATACTCTCGTCCAAATAATTGTAAAAAATGACATTGAAAAATTTTGGACATTTTGAAAATGACTATATCAAAATGGACATTTTTTATAATTTTCTCTTTATTATTTATTTGGCTGACCGTGATTGTTAACGTAGATTGGCTGACGGTTTGAAGAAGACGATAGATATATCTTTTTTCCTTATAACTAGTCGTTATCACGTGCGTTGCACGAATTTTATATTTATCGTATTTTTATTAGTGCATGAATTTTAGTTTTTTTTGGAAAGTTTTTGAAGCAATATCTAAAAATATTTCCATAATATAAGAAATTAGTTGCAAATTATTTTTACAATTGCATAGCAGTATGTTATCTAAAAAAAATATGCTTGTATATTTCATGCTTGAATAAGAAATATATAAACCATTTTGCTTGTATTCTTTGATAGTGTTGATATGATTGAATTGAACGTGAAGATTATATTTCTAAATTTTGTGTAATTCAATATTGTAAAATTGAAAAAAAAACTCTCCCCACAGTGCGGAGAGAGTTGAATCAAGTGCGAAGTAAAAATAAAAAAGGTGTGGAGAGAAAAAATATCTCCACACATTGCGGAGAGAGTTGAACTATGTGCTGAGAGTTGATAAACTCTTCGTACGGTGCGGAGTAAAAAAAAAACTTTTTCGCGCAGTGCGGAGAGATGACAAACCAACTATCCACACAGTATGGAGAGCAAAAAAAACTCTTTGCACTGTGCGGAGAGAGTTAATCTCTCCGCACAGTGCCGAGAGAATTGAATCATGTGCGGAGTAAAAAAAACATCTTCGCACAGTGCGGAGAGAGTTGAACCATGTGCGGAGAGTTGACAAACTCTTCGCACAGTGCTGAGAGATGACAAACCAACTCTCCGCACAGCACAGAAAGGAAAAAAAACTCTTTGCACGGTGCGAATAGTTGTTTTCAAATTCCTTAATTACAAGTCAAATTTCAAGATTGTAAATATTTCGTATATACAATGAAATAGAGTCGAAAAAACATGGCTCAAAATCAATTATGTATTCTTTAAATTCCAATCATAGCTCAATTTCTAAGCATGCAAATCATATTTACGGTATTGAAAAGGAGTTTTCTCGTAATTCATATAATGAAACAATATGTGAGTTGTGCAAAAAAGTAGATATTGATAATACCATGGCATTGCTTTCACAAATGGAGACTCTAGAATACCACCCAAATTCAATATTTTACATTTGCTTGATAACAGCTTTTGGATATTAGAAGCGAATATAATTTTCAATGAAATTATATTTTCGAGTTATAGGCCAGAAATTAAAGTGTTAAATGCATTGCTCAAAAGTTACTTGAGAAAATGCCTTTTGGAACTTGCAGATAAAATTTCGAGAGTTTTTATTTTTCTCTTTACACTGTGTAGAGAGATAGTTTGTCATCTCTCTGCACTTTGCGAAGTCTTTTTTTCCCTCATGTGATGAGATTTTTTTTATTTTATTATTTTATTGTCTCATTAAATTTCTATATACTAAAATTATTATTATTTTTTAATATTGTTGGCATGATATGTGTATGGAAGAATAGTTGTCAATCACCATAAGCAACATTCTTCACAAAATGCAAAAAATAAAAAATGCATAATAAATCTTCTTATTAAGTTAATAAAATTATAATAATTTTTTTTTTTACAAATAACATAAAAAATCATTTTTTTTAACAAAAAAACACATTTAAAAATTAGCAATTTCATAACCACTTTTTTTTTTAATTCTCGAAAATGCAATTATAAAAAATGAAACAATATTGAATTACAACATTTAATACTTAAGAAATTCAATATTAAATAAATTTTATACATTTATAACAAATTATAAATTCATATATGCAGCTTACCGTATTTGCAGGAAACTTACCGTATATACGGCTTATCGCATATACTGCCTACTGTATTTGCAACTTACGGTATTTGTAGCCTACCGTATTTGCAAACAACTTACCGTATTTGCACCTTACCATATATGCTGCTACCGTATTTGCAGCCTACCGTATTTGCAAAAAACTTACCGTATTTTTACCTTATCGTATTTGCAGCTTACTGTATTTTTATATACCGATTTTTGCACTTACAAATATCGAGAATACAGAACACCGTACATTCACTAACCAAACCGAATTTCAAAAAAAAATTCAGATTTTTATTTTTTTTCAACATAAGAATAAAATAAACATTAAATATATATGAAGTACAAAATATAAATGCATATGAATATGGTGCTCAATCTTCAATTTTTCAATATTGAATTACACAAAATTTAGAAATAAAATCTTCACATTCAACTCAATCATATCAACACTATCAAAAAATACAAACAAAATGATTTGTATAATATGGTATATTTCTTATTCAAGTATGAAATATAAAAGTATATTTTTTCTAGATTACACAATAGTGTCATTCGATTGTAAAATTAATTTGCAATTATTTTTTTATATCATAAAAATATTTCCAGATATTACTTCAAAAACTTTCCAAAAACTAAAATTTATACACTAATAAAAATACGATAAATGTAAAATTCGTGCAACGCGCATGACAATCACTGTGCGGAGGGATTTTTTTTTTTACTCCGCACTATACGGAGAGTCCGCACTTTGTGAGGATAGTGTCCGCACAGAATGCCATCTCTCTGCACTGTGCGGAGAGATTTTTTTTTACTTCGCACTGTACGGAGAGTTTGCCAACTTTCCGCACATGATTTGCCATCTTTTCACACTATGCGGAGAGTTTTTTCTTCATTTTTTACTCCGTACATAGTTTGTCATCTCTCCGTACTGTAGGGATAGTTTATTTTTATTTTTTTTAGAGTTCATGTGCGAAAAGTTTTTTTTTTTGCTCATGACAGTTTATATTTACTAAATTTTTTCTTAATGCTACTGATATGATATTTGGAAGAACATTTGTTTGACATAATATTTTTTTAATGCTAGTGACATGATGTGTGGAAGAACATTTCTTTGACATAAATAAAATGAAAAATAAAAAATGACATTATACATGGTAAAATTAGATTAATTTATTATTGCATTAGTAGTAGATCCTCTTTCCCTTTTTTATTAAAAGTTAGATAAAATCTTTTGTTATTTCTCATTCTTACTTTGTTTTTTGATTTATATTTAGTTTACACAAAGAGAGGGTATAATAGTCTCTTTAATAAAATAATTGACTTTTTAACAGTAACTTAATGGAAAGGACCAATTTCGAAAACAAAGGTGAAAATGAGGATGTTTCATTCACTAATGAAACGATAGGTAGTGGGAATATTTTTGTAACGTTAGGTACTCGAGGGGGTTGTTTGTAATTTACTCTTACCATCCGCCGGCCGGTGCCTCGGAGAGTAGTCTTATGTAGTATTGCCACCACCTCTTTGCAAAAATTAAGGGAGGAAAGATGTTGGCAGTGAAGAGCTTAAAGAAGGCAGTGGTTCCTCAATCCCTCTTCGACCATCCGTCTCCTGCCAATCTCCAGTCCACTCGTCTTGCCCTCCATGTTACTCTCTTTTTCTTTGTTGAAAAATAAAATTAAACAGATATTTTTCCACATTATTTATTTATATTTGGAGTTTATTTACTTATTTTTTAAAGGTTTTTGTGGGGTTTGTATTGTTTGCAGGTTGATGGAGATGATTCTTCTTGCTGGGTCTACCTTGCTTCTGGTTCCCGCATTTACAAACTCCTGGTACGTATCGAAACTAACATAGAGATGTGAATATTGGGTTACTTAGAGTTGGGAAGTGAGAATTGAAAACAGGAGCAATGAAGGCACAGAGTTCACCATTGAGGATTTTTACATTTCAATGGGTTCTTTGGTAGAATTAGGAATGAGTGCCAGTGGAAGTAATTTTCTTGATTTTCATTGTAAAATGATATCAAACGATGATTTCAGATGGCTATTTGATAATGCAAAATGTAAATTAGACAATGATCATAAATTAACAGGAGGTAAAAACGTTCAAATGGTTTTCCAAAATGGTTCAGAATAATTCCATCGAGGCGGTTCTCTTGTTACGTTTCCCTTCTTTTTGTGCTAATGGTGCGGTAACTGATCATCTTTGACTAGAACTGAGATCATAATTTGGATATTTTGACGAATGGATGGGGTTTATAGAGGTTCAGTAGAATACTATTGTTTAATCTTTTTTTAACTTGGTAGATTTCAATGGAAGATTCTTTGGTTGGTCGAGGAAAAGAGAGTCTCCTTATCCCTGAACAAACTCAGGTTCACACGCTACACTTTACAGAATTCATTGAAAGTCACAGGTAGAACTTAGAAAATGTAACTTTTCATTCAACTCACAAGTAAAGTGTAAATGAAGGTTCTGGACTCAGCATTGGTGAAACGCTGCCCTCATCGATCTGAAATTCAGAGTTTAGTGCTTGTTGAAACTGAAAGTGAGGATCTATTTCCTACATGAACTTTTGACACCTTTTCCTAAGCACTTACTTTGTCAAGTTACTTTACGAGCATAATTAGTGGTTTCATTTTTTCTCCTAGTAGTTGTTACCCAAAAATGTAAATCTTGAACGGATGTTAACATTTTTAGTAATTAACTTGAATTATTCTTAATATTTATAGTAAGATTTATCATCTATGCATTTTCAATTGAAGATTACCATAGAAGACAAAAGAGAGTAATATATGCAATCGATTTTTTCTTTATATTTATGAAAATATTTGTTGCCTTGCCTTTTCAATTGAACATTACAATTGATGGGGGGAGGGGGAGAGAGAGAGAGACTACTATCTTTCGATATTAGAGAACAATTGATGCATCAGTAGTGTGGCCTACACTTTCGTGTACCCCAACCCCACCCAAATGGCAGAGAATGATTTGTAATTTTCCATGTTCCTTAGCCCCTATTTGAGCCCCATTTTGATTAGAAATGTATTTTGGAATGGTGATTTTTTTGAAGAATGTGTGGTTAAAAAGAAGAAATTTTTTTCGCTTTACATGTAAAATTATTTTACAAGAGAACGTGTGGTTGAAAATGAGTTTTAAAAAACTGAGTTTTGTAAAAATGGAGGCCAAACATAGGCTTAATGTTGGTTCCACTTCTGCAGGCTTGGGTCGCTCGATATTGGGAAGCGTGGACTCTTATGGTCATCTTATTGTTTCTCAATTGGATTCTAGTGGTGCAGGTACTTGTTCACTAATTCCATGTTATGGTTTTAGTTCGTTACTTTTATTTCTTTTGCTGTTTGCTTCCTTGTTTGATTATGTTGGTGCAATATAATTCAACTTCTGGACGTCAATCTTCTGCCATGAACATGTACATAGATGTGCAGTTGTTAATCTCTCATGCTTCGATTACATAGCCATTTGCCTGCCTTTCTTCCCCTCTTTGCTTGTTTCGGATTTTTCCCATTCATATGCTCATGAAATATGTATTCAAAACTAGCTGTGTCACACCCCAATCCCTTCATGTGTAAGGCTAGGAACAATTGTTGTGTGCTGTGATCTGTTACCAGTTATGTGAAGCATAATTTATCTACTCATATGTGCATCGGCACTAAGTCATATGAGTAAGCATTGCTCATGCAAAATTTATATTAGGGAATAATTGGTTCTGGCTTTTTCACTACTACGCTAATTATTTTGCACCCCTGGTTCTAGATGTTGATGGGCTTAGTTTTTCGGTATCTCCTCGAGATTATGGTGTTGGAGAAGGAAGTTGGACGGGACTTTGCTTTAATCCAAATCAATGGTTCATGGTATTTAACTACCTATCTTGAACCTATTTCAATTGTAGTGTACTTGAAGTTGTTTGCCTTCAAATTTTGCTCATATTTTTTTGCTCCATTCGAAAATGTGTATTTGATTTTGCTTGTATTTATTCTTTTCGAGATCTATGCTTTGCTTCATCCTTGCCTTTTGCCTCTTGTTTAATTACTCTGTTTGGATATGTAGTTGCACCATTATAGAAGGTTGAAATGTTTGTGGATGCTTTGGATATGAGAATTAGAAGTGAAGGATGAGATGCAAGAGCAATTTGATATTGTGTTATTTAATGTCACATTGATCAAAATGAAGCTACTCTGTGCTCCAAACAAATTGTACAAAAAAGTATGCTGAAATAGGAAGTTTGCATGCTTGTTTTCACCGTATTCTCAGACTTGGTTGAGCTTAGTCAGACCGCTGCTTACTAGATTTTGCTGTATGCTTTTACTAAATATTACTAATCTTATCTAACATTCCTGTAAACCCAAATTTTCTGCAAATTTTCATTCTCTTTGCCTTACACACCTCCATCACGACTTTATTAACAGATTACAACTATCTTTTCATACTGACTGCCTACATTTTCGTTCTCAGATGGAAGAATATAATGTGCCTCTAATAACAGTTAGCGTTTCCAGACATCTGTCCTCCTTTAGTGCTCATTCTGAAAAAAACCACATTGTTTTTTTATAGACTTTCTTGTTCCTATAGAGTATTTAAAGACAAATAGCAGTGAAGATGCTCCAAACTTTATTTGGTTTGCTATTTAGATAATTTTAAGGATTACTCAGTGACCTCTTCATAGCATCTTTATTTGAAGAATTTGATTTTACACGAGATGAATATCAGAAACTTAACTTGCTATATTGTTACTTGGGATTCTTATTGTCCACACTAACTTTTCAGGGACAATGATTTTTGTTCTCTGTATGAAGTTTAACTCTCCCTGGAAAGTTGTCCACTCGGCTGACTAGATATTTTTACTTCAGGCAGCTGTGGCACGCAGCTTCTGTAAAAGTATAGATGTTTACGACCAAGATATTCATCTCCAGACTTTACGTTCGTGAGTACTTCATTCGATGCTGTATGCTTAGCCTTTTTTGTTTTGTAACTCTACTCCTGCCATCTCTCTCTTTTGAACTTCCAATTATGTTGCTTAAAATGTATTGACACTTTATAAACTAATAGTGATGAAAACCTATTAAGAAAGTGTCCACAGGTATCCTTATTCTAGTGCATAAGAATGTTTTACGTGCAGTAGGTTTAGCCTGGCTGGTTAGAAGGGCTATTGTAAATTCAAATGGACATTTTCCAAAAATAGAAAGTGACAAAAAATAATTAATTTTTTATGTACTTTCATTTACCACACCCGCATTGTTTAAATAGCTTTAATACTGCTATGAATTAGCATAAGACGAATCATTGTATGTTTTATTTTTCTTGCTGTGTGGATTACTCATATAAAATTATCAGCTGGTAAGTGAAATTATGATGGTAACAATCTATTTCTGATTTCTAATGTCATCATTTTCTTACCGACAGTTTTGAATTCCTTGGAGAAAAACTGTCATAGAAGTTTTTTTCCTGTTATTTGTTTTTGGCAACTTACTTGGAGAGCCTGTGAATAGTATCCCAATTCCAATCAATCGAATTTTATTGGCAATGATATGGGAAGCTGGGGAAATAATCATGTTCCCTCAGTGAACCATGATGGGGCTACATGTGAAATTTTCTGTTGTTTGAGCAGTTACAATATTGAAACTCCTTGGAACAAATTATTGATGGATCCTCAAGGATATTAGACTGTCAAATTGCCTGACAACTAGACTTTTATTACGATTTATCTCATTGTTTGCATCAAGCTGGAATGCGGGATAAAAGACAAAAAGCTATTATACATTGTCATGTTTCTTACAATGTAGATGTTAGTCTTAAAATATAATATACCTACCATTTGCATATTCTATGCAAAGGCAAATGCCAAAAATTTTATTCGAGATTCTAATGCGTAAGTTTCTTTCCGAATTTTGTATTAGATTATATAACCTTGGCTGATAAGGTTGCTATATGTTGCAGATTATGGTATCCAACTTCACTGAATTTTATGCAGAATATTAGTGGAAGTGATAGTTCTATATTAGCTGTAACAGAAGGTTCCCAGGTGTTTGTCATAAAATCTTTTGCATGTTCGAATTATTTGTGCAATGATTATTAATGAAGTCATTTATTATTTATGTCAACAGTTAAGTATATGGGACTTGCGAATGAAAGAAAATGGTGGCTGTGTACATAGAATATGCGGATCTGTTGGGGATATCTTATATGCAGTCTGTAATTCTTCATGTGGTAATATTGCAGCTGGTGGAGCTGATCGCACTGTGACTGTTTATGATCCTCGCAGGTCTGTTGGCTTTCGAGCCATTTCCTGATTAATAATTATATATCATTTCTATGTTGCGATGCTACCTTTTTGCACCACATCATCAAGCTGGGCTGAAGATGTCTTTTACATGCACATCCGTTATTTTCCTACTGTCTTACAGATTAGTACATCATTTTCCTGAACCTATCATTCGGTTTTTATATGGGAACGGAGTGGGAAATAGGGGAAAAGGGCAGGAAACAGAAGTATATATTCAATTTTTTAAAATTATGATGCTTGTTTAGTGGTCTGCCAACATGTTCCCACCGTTTTATGGGGCAAGTTGTTTTTCTTAAAAGTCTCGATGGCGCGGAGGAACTGCCTCATTGCCTTATAATATATACCTTTTCTTCTAGATTCCTCCAGCTGTTGATCGGAGAATAGCAAGATATCTTATTGTGATAGTTAGCTCATTCTTTCAAACTTGTCAAAGTCCCATATCTCCTTCTCCGCCTTTATCTCGGGAAAGCCTTTTCTCTAGAAATAGCTACCCATTTCCAGAAGGAATTGCCATTAGACTTTTGAGTGATTGTACCATAGTTTATAGAGAAGATTGGAGAAGCACTTTGATATCCTGTTTCGGAGAAATAAGTGGCTCACTGATATCCTGTTTTGGAGAAATAAGTGGCTCACAAGGAAAGGAGTGGACATGAAGTTCTGGATGGCCTATCTCCCTATGGACATCTGAGAATATTTTACTATTTCATCCCACCTGGCTCCCTTCGGTAGGAGGAGGATAGAATAATCTGACTATCGAGCTAAAAGAAGCTATTAGAATAAGAGCTTAAAACAACAAGATCTCCTAAAACTCTGTGCATGTGATTCCTTTGTCGATCGAACACACAAATGCTCACGAGTCGTGGCAATGGAAATTTCTTCCCAACAGAATCCTCTTAGCTTCACCCAAAAATTTATGGTGTCTGCTAGTTTTTATGCCTCGGGACAGAACTTGTGAGGAACTTTTAGGGCTTTGACTACGGATTTAGCCATGGTATGAAATAGCCTGGCGCATGCACATTAATAAATTATCGTAAAGTTCCTATTAAATAAAAGCTTATTTTTTTAGTTTATATTTATGCAAGTCATTTTGATTAAAGAATATCTCATTTTTGTAATTTTGAAACATTTGAAATACTAAAATTAATATTACAAAACCCACGAGCCTGCCCATACGAAGCCCAACCCAGCCATAGACCAAGAAAGTCCATAAGTGATGTTTTATCCAGGCTGAGCTTCCTCCCACCCATTCAACTCCTTGATGAATGGGGTCAGTCCAGCCGAAACCCGCTTGAGCCTCAACTCCCTTAGCGATTCTTATGGTTTTTGCAAATAAAGAAAATATTATTAAAGAAACTAAATGTTAATTTATTTTTTTGGTAAATTAAGAAAAATATTATTAAGGAAAATAAAGGCAACGCTTCTTTAGTTTAGTTATATCAATTGCTGGCTCACAGTCTGGTCTTTCTTCTAAATTTTGAATGCAGATGGGCAGCATTGTCTAGATGGCTGAACTGCTCAAAGTATGAGGTCAGTTGAAACGTTTAGTGAGTTTCAGAACATGTGAATTTGCCGTCAATGGGATTTTAAATCTGTGTTAATTTTATGTCAGCGACCGCACCATGTATATTGATTTTTTCAAGTGCCAGTTTGAAAAAATGGTTACTTTTTCTATTAGTTTTCTTTATCGTCCGTGTTTCATGACATTTCCTATTCTAAAGCTAATTTAGGTTGTATATACAGCCTGAATTTCATGATATTCCCTATTCTAAAGCTAATTTAGGTTGTATATACTGCCTGTATTGTATTCCTCTTAAATAACATTCAACGTTTCAATTTTATACTGCAGATAACTGGACTTGCTTTTTCATCACTTGATCCTGACTACATTTATGTGCAAGGAGTAGATTATGAGGTAAATCCTTCAGAGGTCTTTTATTCACATTATCTGATGAACCTTAAATTTCATAAAAATGTATGTGATCCTTACCATTCACCATCCATTAAATAATGTGCCCTTTTTTATCTTCTTATATATCCACATAGGAAAAATGTGGTTCTTCACATTCATCATCTTCAAACTTTTTGCTGATACATTTGTGTGGTGTGTTAGAAGCATTCTTCTCTTGTTTGGAGTTTGAACTACCGTAGATAAGAATGTCTGGAATGGTTTCTAGAAGATAACCATATGTTAATGTCCAATGCATGCTCGATGTGCACATTTTTGCAGGTTCTATGTGGACAATGGAAACAAAGCAAGAAGGCATTTTCGTTTAGAGGAGATTCAAACTGGCTTGGATTTAGTAAGGTATCATATATGTCACCATCAAACATAACAAGAGCATATATGCAAAATTTTCAGACGTAACCATCTAATGTGTTCGTTCATATTCAACAATCTGTGAAAATGATTGTCAACATTTCACTATTGCCGAGAGGGATTGGTTTGAGTGGGCAGTATTAAATTAGGAAAAATAAATAAAACCATGTCTATCGCAGTGTCCAGTTTTGTCTAATATTGCACATCCTATATAAGTTTTAAGGGAGTGAGAAATTGGCCAGAAACAGAAGTTGCTGTATATAAACAAACCTGGTCATTCTTCATTTGTTCAGTTTTGTAGTTGAATGGACCGATTGATATAAACTATGCTTGTTTGGTAGTTCCTTTTAAGTGTTTATAAGCTGTGGGTCCTGCAAAAGGTGAGGATATGCTTGGATGAGTTTAATTTTTGAAACATTTCCCCTCGAGGGCAGAAACTGCACTACTAACTCATTTCAAATGTTCCTTGCAGTGTTCCAATAGAGATGTTGTGGGGGGATGGTGTGATTCAGGTAGCGTATTTATTGCTGACGTGTCACGAGGTAATGGAATTGGCTCGTAGAAAGTCATCTCTAGAGGAATATCATGTTAGATGCTCCAGCCATCCTTTCGTCTGGTCAGATTGCATGTCGTGTTCGGGATTTCTCCTGAAGTTTGTAAATCTGTAAGCTACCAAAACTTTGCTTTTTCCTCACATGTTGAACATTATTTTTGAGATTTTGCCTAAAAAAGATCTTTTTGCTTCAAAAGTTCCTACTATTTTCATGCTTGTGATTAATGTTACTCATCTGGTGTTTGGTTATAGAACAATTACTTCTATATGCATAAATCTATGTCTTTAGCAAGTAATTTTGGCTTTTAAGGTTTGAAAACCAGTGCTTTATTTTTACCCTTAAGGCTTTAACAAAAAATGTTATTTGTACCACCTGGTTTACAGAATGCACAGGTGGCATAATTCTTAACAAAAAGTTACCATTAAAGGTAATTGGATATGTAACTCTCAATGGAAGTCTACTAGAAAATTTAAATGTAAGAGTGATTAAGGATGGTAATGGGATGAGACAACTTGGGCAGCCATCTCTACCCTGTCCTGCCTTATTCGAGACTTCAGGGAGGTGGATGTGGATTAAAATGTTCTCATTTATGATTCCTTTTAATTATATATTCATTTTTAATGATTTAAAACATAATAACACAATAACATAAAATGAATCGAGATGCATTTGGAGAATTTGGGACGGGGGAAGGACGAGAATTGACAGTGCTAACAGGTAAGTTGAATGTTTTATAGTTTATACTAGTATTGAACAAGGGTTGGAGGTTGAAAAGTGTTAGTAAATATGGTTACCAAAGCAGTTATCAAAGAGCTGTGAATCTCTCAACAGATTAATGTTCCCATTTAAGATCTGGGAAATGATGTGTACACATGTACAGCCCTTTCACAAATGTGAGGCCCACGATTATTTTAAAAGCGGGCCCCACCATCTATATGTGATAGGGTTGTCAACCATGTTGTCAAATGTGTTGTACCTGTAGAACTACTCTTAAAATTTAGTTCTTAATTTCGGATTCTTGATCTTCTTTCTTTGGGATAAGTTCTCCCCCATTCCCTCTATTTTCATGAATATTTTAAAAAGTGGACATCTTTCCTTTAAAATTTCGATAAACATCCTTTATAGTTGAATAATGATGGTTGAACAGGGTTAAAAATAGAGAAAGTGTAAACATGCTGAGATGGCAGCATTTGGATAGGTGTTTTTTTGTTTTTTCAAACTGTCCATTCGCGTTTCGACACTTGTTCCCCTTATTTTTAACCCTGTTTTTGTAGCATTTCTGTGGGTGGGAAAAATTTAACAATTATTTGTAGCAGATCCTAAGAGGCTAAGGATTAGTAAGTTGACTCATTGAGGAAGGACACGAGAGAGAGAGTGGGATAAATGGATCTTTCTTCGTTACTCTTGTGTCTACTTTCCCTGTTATAGATCCTAAGAAGTACTTTAGCAAATAAGGTCATCCAAAAACGGATTTAGGATCGCACTAAAAGCTGGTCCAGTCCCCCCTACATCCATCACTGAGTCCATCTATTTATACATGGTTTGTTACTGTTCAAACTTAGTGACGGATTTAGGAATGTTGGTGAGTTGGAGTGGTCATTAACCGTTGACCATCGATTGTCAACTATAGTAATAGCGAGATCGTTTATTAATATTTAATTAAATAATATTAAAAATTGGAAAAAATTGCAATAGGGTCCCCTAATTTTGGATTTTTAGTAGACTTTACCATATCCTACAGTTTGTACTAGCGGAGGTTCCAAACCTTTGAAAAATTAATAATTGAGGGAAATTATCCATTTGACCGTTGGCCCAAAAAAATTGATTTTGACCAAATATAGTAAGGGCAGAATGATAATTTTATAATTTTAACATAAAATAATTTTAAAAACAAAAAGAAAATATATAAAACAATTGTTCACCTCATTCCACCCCTAGATATAAATATAATTAAAAAAAACTCGAGGTTCCCTGTTCATTTCCCTCCTCACCCTAAACCAAAAACCGATTCCATGACCACAGCCTTCCCCACCTCCGCCTCCATCCCAAAACAAAACCAAAATTTACTTCATCTCAAATTCTTATGCATAAACAAATGCAAATATATAAAGAACTTACCAATATCCAAATCTAATTTTCACATTGAAACACAATAGTGCACTTGACTGTATAAATTCAAAGAAAAAACACATAAACATAGATCATAGAATGATCACTTTTTTGTACAAGTAAAAAAAGCCAAAGATTGTGTAATTATCAAGACTGCTCATCGAAGTTAATAGCTAGCATTGCAAATTAAATTGAGCAGCAGCCACTACAAGGTGCCATTTTGCCCCCATCAATGCCATAGGCACCAAATTTTTGCTATTCATCTGCCTTAATTGTTGTTGCAACTGATTTTGCTTATGCAATTGTTGGTGTTGTGAAGTGCATTCCCATCCCCAAAATTCTTTGCCTACAAATCCTGTCTTGCTACTGTTGATGTTATCTCATCATTTCGATGCTACTACTATTGCATTTGATTTAGCCTTGACGTCGAAGAGGTCCTTTGGAAACCCTACTGCATCCAAAAAATTTAAAACCCCAATTAAATTATTTTAATTACTACTATTGTTAACATCACCATTATTATTCTGCTGATGCTGTTGCAATTGTTGATGATGTTGCCGTGTTTGGTAGTATTTGATGGGGTGATTGTTTGGTTGTGTGCTCATATAGTATATTTTGCTATGATAAAATAATAATTTATAATAAATTTCATTTATTTATCGCATTTATTTATATTGAATATGAGAGTTAAAGTGCATATGATCACTTGTGATAATATAAGTTGGGTACTTACGTTGAGAAGTACAGTGTAACAAAATTTATATTTTGAAAATAAATAATTTGTTCGAACCAATGTATAAGGATTGACACATTGTACTGGAAGGTTGTAGTGTTGACCGATTCACTCTTCAGGTTTGTGATTTGTCCTTATCACAGAAATAGTTAAACGTGATACTAGTATACTTGAAGCGTATAGAATGGATCGCGTGACGAATTTAATTCTATAGCATGATCGTGCGAAGAATTAAATTCTACTTGACCGCTGCGTATTTTATTTAAATCCTTTAACATGGTTATGTATATCTTTTCATGATTTCAATGATTCTTTGATTCATCAATGGATGAGATCAATTAGATTAATCAAATATTTCGATGAGTTGGGAACTTCAGATTGAGTGAAATAGAGAACATGAATTCATATCGAGAATCGTCACTCTGAAAAAATGGGTAGAGTGATTATTTAAATATTTTTTATTGAATGATTAAAGTTTGAGCTCAGTGTTAAGCAACGGCTAAATTTCGGTATCTATGATTAGTTTACAAGATCGTTGAAGGAAATGATATTGAAGTTAGTGAGAATAATTAGAAGGGCGAAATGGTCTTTTCTACTCGTACCTAATTATCGAATCTCGGACGAGGTTAAAATATATATATAAAAGGTCAGAGGAAAGCATTATAGATTTATTGGCATTTGTGATTTTATATATTCTAAGAGTTCAGTTTTTTACCTTTAGTAAAAAAACAAAGACTAATAATTAAATTTGGTGGTTCAAGGTCGACGGAATCAAATTATTGGAACTAGGATAATATATATCCAATCAGGTCCGTGTGGTAATTTAACTATGGTAATTGTAATAGTTTTGGGCTTAATTATAATTACAATAAAATTTTGGACTTAGTTGTAATTTCTATAAAAGTTGTAAACTTAATTATAATCGTAATTGAAGTTTTAGAACTACACATATAATTAAATGTAAACTAATTGAATTTGGACTTTGACTAAAACTCCTACTTGGATTTGAATTAGAACTGTTATTTGAATGTGAAATTATTAGTGTATAATAATTGTAACTATTCTATCTCTATAAATAGAGATTAGATGAAAATTAGACATCGTATGGAATTGTACAACAATCATAATACATAATTTCATAGTATTCAAATTTGGAGAGAAAAAATAGATTTTCTTATTTTTTATTTTTTTTTGCTTTTATCGATTGTCCAAATCAATAATTAGTTTTTTTTTATTTAATTAAAGAAGGTGCCCACCCACTAATGTAATCTTGACTTTGGAGAATACTATAGATGATTTGGAGGTTTAAAACATCAAGTTCTTAAAATTAAAAAGTGGAAGTTCGTGATTGAAAACTTATTCAAGAATTGACCATTGAACCAAATCTTATATTCTTGATATATGTGTATATTTAGACGATCTTGTTTAATTGAGTTAAAGAAATTTTTTAATATCTGAGTAATTCTGCATCTACATTCCTGCGGTGATTTGGTGGTGCATTGTATGGAGTGAACGGGATGTGATGAGTTGGGTTCATTGGCATCACCTAGGATTATTCGATTACTTGTGTGGAAAAAGATCAATTTCATCTACTTGAAGATGGAGAAAATGTTATTGGTTCTGAAGTACCACACCTTAGTACAATTAGACCATTAATTTATCTTGCAAATTACGCTCAACGCGATATGGTTTCTTAAAATATCCTTGCAATATATAGCTCTGTACTAACTCAAAAACATTGGAATGGTGTTAAACATATTTTTCATTACCTAAATGGTACTATTGCTTTGAGATTATTTTATTCTTAAAAGTCGATATCCACTTTAGTGATATATGCATATTCAAGTTATCTATCTGGTCCATATAAATTTAAATCACAAACATGATATATGTTTACACGTGGAGGAACAACTATATCATGAAAATCTATAAAAACAATTTTTGACAGCAATATCCTCAAATCATTCTGAAATTATTATAATTTTATGAAGCAGGTCGAAGATGTATATGATTAAAAAACATGATCCATCATACTCAAGAATCATACGGATTACCTTCAACAAAAACTAGTCCAACAATTTTGTATAAAGACAATGCAATTTGTATTGCGCAATTCAAATGACACTGTATCAAAGGTGACAGGACGAAGTATATTTTTCTAAAATTCTTTCATACTCATGTGTTTCATAAGATTAATGACATCGATGTCAACAAATTTGCTCAAGTGACATTGTGCTCAATTTATTCACAAAAACACTGTAGACATCTATATTTAAAAAATTGATTCATGAGATTGGAATGCGTCGATCCAAAAATTTTTAGTGATCAACATCAAGTGAAGTAATTGTACTATTTTTCCTTCGAGTAGGTTTTATCCCATTGGATTTTTCTAGCAAGGCTTTGATGAGTTTGATTTTTTGTCCCATTGAGTTTTTATCAAATAAGGCTTTAACAAGACATATATTTTTGTAATGTATCATTCAAGTAGAGTACTGTAAATGATAAATTTATTAATAAGTGAAAATTGTATTCCTACAACTTTAGAAATTATTATCACTTTATCTATAATTCTTTCTTATAAATATAGAGTTTTGATTCTTAATAAAACATGCAAAAGTCTATTAACTTTTATTCTTTCTTCTCCTTTTCTCTCTTTTTATAACATTCTTCACATTATTTTGCAACTTTTTTCCATTTTGAACCATACGTTAACAAAAAATTAAAACAAAACAATATTATGAAAAATCATTTCTGAAAAAAAATATTTACCAAATAATTATCCAGGTCTTTTAAAGCATTTTTTTTTCCGTGAACGTGTAAAAACTGTTTTTAACTCCAACGGACAGGAATTCTAATTCATTACCACGCGGATGGTGCGACCGTCCTATAAAGGAGGGCCACCACACACCCCGAGGTGTGTGTGTCACCGGTCGAGGTGGCGCCTCAATATTGGGCGGTCGCACTACAACTTGGTGCTACCAGTGCGATTGTTCTACTGAAGTATTTCTTGATTTTTGGAGTCTATGTTGGATCCAGCGCTCTCGGCCTGCCTATATAGATTTTCTTTTTCTTCTTAATTTTTTCTTGCTTTTTGAAAAGAACCAAAAAACCTGTAAAAGAAAAAGTTGTCGGGGTTGTATATCAATCTATTCTTGCCTCTGTAGAATTTTGTTTTAAGAAAATAAAAAATGAAGTATATGAGCCCAGAAGATAATCCAAGTAAATAAAACTAGAATAGTACAAGATACACGGAACAACAATACAAGAAAAGTTGATTTTTTGACAAGTGATTTTGTATAAAGTTATTAGGCATCCGATAAGAACGAAACAAAAGCACTTTGAGACTAACATAGTGGCCTGTCTACGATATTATGCAGACAGTAAATGACTTCTTTTTGGTTCAGAATCTTACTTTTTTAGAGATGACAGCACAATTGCGATGTGTGACAGAATTTTTGACATAATGAATGATCGACACTCACATTGACAGTGGCTCACTTCTTTTTTGAACTTTTTTATTAATGCAGGGCTCACATACTATAAGAGGATTTCAATCATTATGTCAAAAAATTTCTGACAAAGTAGTTTAATTGTGGTTGATAAAGATGGCTGAAGAAAATAAATGTTTGACAATTGTATGTCTGACAATTGTTCAAACTTTGAATACTATGAGTTTCCTGCATGAGGCGGGTTTTTTTTTTTTTTTTTTTTTTTTTTTAAACTAAAAAAGAAAGCAATTGGTGTAATAAGATATAGCGAATGAGCAATGTTGTCCTAATCATGAGAAAACTGTATTTTATTCTTAAAAAACAGTGAACCTAATTATCCATGCAGATATAGTGTGAAGCAAACTACGATGGCTCCATTTGATTCTCATTTTTATCAAAATATATTTTTCTCTCTTTCCTTTATATTCACACATTTTTTATTAAAATAATATTATATGTAAATCAAAAAATTTTCTTATTTTTTATCAACACATTCTCCATCAATTTACTATTTTAAAATTCATTTTTTCCATAAAAATGTGTCAAACAAAATCAAATGATAACACTTACCTTTGTTTTAAAAAACAAAATAAATAGACCTTGTGTAAAGTTGATTTCTTGAAAAGTTTTTTTGTGAAAAATCAATTTTTTGAAGAACGCATAATCAAAAAATGAACGAAGAAAATTTCAAGAGAGAGGCTTCACGTACAGAACCCGGTCTACAGGGCTCCGTCAGAATACACACAAACATGAGTGTGATAGGATCTTTTGGAGCACTTTTTTAATGAGGTGGGATCCACCTCATGTCTTACATTGATAGAACCCCTATGAAAAGGGTTCTGTACGTCCATCTTTTCTCAAATTTCAAACGAGGACAAAGAAGCATCCATTGGAGTTTCTTTTTCAAAGTAAACCTTTCTCGTGTGAATTTTTCTATGACATATATGGATTCACATCTTCTACTTTATAGACATTTTCAATTACAGAAGAATCAAATGTCTCCAAGTCACTATTTTTTTTTACAAACACAACTTCATTTTCGTTAAAAGCAAAAACGACATCAGTGACCGATTCTCTCAATCTGTGAAAAAAGGACTACCATGGAAACTTTCAGGTCGATCATTTTTATCCACACGTTCATGTAATAAAATATTTTACATGTATATCAATAAAAAATTCTTTACTTTTTGACTACATTACCCGAAAAATACTATCCACAACTCATTTTCCCCAATTAATGAGAATCAAACAGGCATTAAATGTTTCATTACTTGATTCAAAAATAAATCGAATAATAGTCCGATTCATCTGCACTTTCGTGAGACTATTCATCATTCAAGGCATTCAATAAGTGGTCGAAGGATTCACGTGACTATTAAAATAGTAAACATTACTGTAAAGTATTGAACGACCTAGTTTAATCCTATATTCATTAGTGAGTGAATGATCAGAGAGTAATTTTATTCAGCATCACAAGTTTAGTTGACAAATGTAGGTTATTAAATGATAAATTCACTTAAATGTAATATGTCATAATTCATTTAATTGAACATATCTAGTGTGACCATCTAAACTGATACTCTAACACTATTGGCGCTAGACATAATCAATGTTCTGAAAAGTGTAAAGAGTGACTAGACGTTGAGCCAAAGTTTTAAGCTTTAAGTACTTAAGCGAGTTTAGGCGAGGTTTAGACATAAAAAAAGGTTTTCTTATTAATAATATTATTTTAAATTTTTAATCATTTTAAAAATTATTTAATAATTAAAATATATACATATTAAACATCTAAAATTATAAAATACAATATTTACTTAATAACTCCTATCATTAGTTTATTATCCAATTTTCAAGTTTTCGAAATACAAAAATTAAAATATTGTTTTAGTTGTAATTTTCAACTAGAGAAGTCCTACTTAATGGATTTATAGGAATTTCATACATGCCTTTAGAGTTTGTAATAAAATGAGTATCAAGATATAATTACATAATGTGGATACCAACATAATTTAAAATCTTATTTAACTATTTAGATAAAAGTCATTTTTAATTTTTGTACAGATAAAATTTTTTAAAGACTTGAAATTAAAGTCAAATGAATTTATTTATTTTTAAATAATAAGCTAAAGTCAAATAAAAGACTTTGGGAAAAAAAAAAAACTAAGTGTGCGTATGATTACTAATATTTTCCATAAAAAATGTATTTTTTCCACTCAAATTCACGTGACCATAATTTCTTCAAAATCAAGAAAAATATTTTCTTTAGAAAAAGTATGATTTTATTTTTCAAAGAATTCACTCCCTCTTTTATCCATTATTCTCATCTACCTACCAAAAAAAAATTAAATATAATATTTTTTTGATTAAAAATTAAATCAATCAAATATATAATTGACAATTTCCAAGATCCCCACGCAACTAAGCCGTGGACACTGCGTGGTAGAGGCGCGTTCCAAAAGCCCCCTCCCAGTGTTCACTTATTGCCTTTTCAATTTCACCATTTCACTGCCAAGATTAACTTCAATCAAATTTAGTTACTATTTCTAATTATAGCACTAAATTTTCGAATCTCTGGACCGAAAAGTGGTTAATATGTGATCGATTTCTATGAATATTCTCTCCTTTTCCGTGTAATCCGCGGTACAAATTACTCCCACATATAAGCCTTCTCCATTGCAATAGGGTTTCAAATATCCCCACTCATTCCCCTGTCCTTCTCAAATTATGAACACATTTTGCTTATGTAACTTCTCGAATCCTTTTATTTTATGGGTGTTTTGATTCTTGCTTTTCGTGGGTTCGGTTTACAATTTTGTTTTCTTGACAGAACTACAAGAAGTTAAAAAGGTTCTTGAGATATCTACATTTTCTGCTGGGGCAATTTGAGTCTGGTTGGAATTTTTTAAATTATGGGCCTTTAAGAATTTGATATTTCGTTGTTTGTTATCAATTGTAATTAGAAGGGTATTCTTTGATTTTTTATTTTTTTTTTTAATCACATTTTCTTTGACCTAGGGTTGTTGGTTTGGCAAGAAAAAAAAAATCTGAGTGTTTGCCCTTTTCTGTTTCCTTTTGATATTGAATTTTGGTTATCATTTTTGTAGAATTTCTTGGATATTTTATCTTTTTCGTGTAAACTAGGAAATGCCAGGTACAGATTGTCACGAAACATCATCACCATCATCTTTTCCATTTTGAGCAGACATCGGGATCAGGTCCTCTCTATGGACTCTACTCATGAGGTCAGTGGCCATGAAAATGGATTGGAAGCCTTCCAAAAACATGTGGCCGAAAGGTTTCGTGAATTGGCAGCAGTAGACTCTAATGAGTTGCTCTCAGTTCCGTGGATTCGCAAGCTTTTAGATGCATTCCTCTGTTGCCAAGAGGAATTTGTACTTATCGTCTTCAAGAATCCAGGTTTCTTCAATCGATCCCCCATGGATCGGTACATTTCCGAATACTTTGAGAGAAATGTTAAGGCTTTAGATGTTTGCAATGCAATTCGTGATGGCATTGAGCAGATCAGGCAGTGGCAGAAGCAGTTGGAGATTGTTTTATGTGCATTGGACAATCAGTGTAGCATTGGGGAAGGCCAGTTTCGTCGTGCTAAAAAGGCCTTGATTGATTTGGATATGGCAATGGTGGATGAAAAAGAGTTGAATTCGACTCTTGCACATAGAAATCGGTCTTTTGGACAAAACAATGTCCAGAGGGAGCACAAGTCTTTTAGCCAATTCCGGTCCCTGTCATGGAGCGTTTCCCGGTCTTGGTCTGCTGCTAAGCAGTTGCAAGCAATTGGCAACAACTTGGCTGCGCCACGAACTCATGAGATTTCAGCCACTCATGGACTAAATGTGGCTGTTTTCACCATGAATTACGTGCTTCTTTTTGTGATGTGGGCACTTGTGGCTGCAATCCCCTGTCAAGACCGTGGCCTTCAGACACACTTTTTAGTAACTAGGCAGTTTGTTTGGGCCGTTCCGATTCTCTCACTCCATGAGAAGATTCTGGATGAGTCAAAGAAACTGGACAGGAGAAATTCTAGTGGGTTGTTGAAGGAGATTCACGAGATTGAAAAATGCGCTAGACAAATGAATGAATTGGCTGATTCTGTTCGGTTTCCCTTGACTGAGGAAAAGGAAGAGGAAGTGAGGCTAAGAGTTCAGGAGTTTGCACTAGTGTTTAAAGCGGTAAAAGAAGGTTTGGATCCATTAGAACATCGGGTTAGAGAAGTTTTTCATAGGATTGTGCACAGCAGGACTGAGTGTCTCGATTCTATTGGACGAGCAAATACTAACTATTGATACAATTTGAGATAAAAAGTTGTCCATGTGAGCTACTCAATCAAAGGTTGAAGAGGTAAAGTCTTGTATTTATCGCAACGTGTTTAAAGAAATCAGGAAAACGATTGTACTTTCTGCTGTCTATGTTATTGTATCTTTTGCTTTGAGATATAATCTATATTTCAACTAAATTTGATGCTGCTAGATGATAAATAATAGTAGTAGAAACTGAAGAACACTCCATTTGAGGCATAATTTGCATCTAAGTTAGCAATAAACATGATGAAATGACATAGGTTGTTTTGCTATTATATGCTCTTGAACTGTTTGAATGCTCATCAGCACCAAAGTGGCTAAATGGCTTCATTTTTGCATCAAATTTGTTCTGTGTCTACTTGAGGGTTGATTTTTATATCGATGGTTCGTTATGGAGGAGGGCTGTGATAGGTTGATAGCGGAGAAAAACTTTGTCAAATCTTATGATATGTATACTTGTACACATTTCATTGAGGCATAACCAAGTAATAATGCTGTGCATCAGATTCCACTTATGGTCTCTGTTATTGTTATTTATTTTGCTAAAGAATATTGCAATTTAGGCTTCTTTGCATATCTAAATTAGGCAATAAACATAATGAAATGGTACAAGATTGTGTGTATATTCTTGAACTGTTTGAATGGTGATCAGCTAAAAAATGGTTAACTAATAGCTTCATCTTCACTTCAAAGAGTTTGGTCTGTCTTGTTTAGGCTTGCATTTTCATATGGATGTTTCGTTTTGTTGAAGTACTATTATTCGGATTATTATAGGAAAGTCGTCCGTAGTTGTTTTCAATTGAGTGTGTGATAGTTTGGGACATTTGCCCAAGTGCATGGTGTTGCTAAACTTTACTTGCAATAATGGACAAGATGGAGGAGGAAGAAAAATTAAAAATGAAAACATTGTTGCTTTCAAAGTAGAATGACCATTTTTTTATGTTATACTCGTATCTTGGCAGCAACCTACCTGGCCTTCTCCCTCCTTTTCAGAGGATGAATTATATTTTATTGTTGGTTTGACTTTCAGCTTTCTTGTTGACTGGATCTCTATTTTGTGGTACCCGTTTTTCGTAAGTTTAATTGAAATTGAAGATAAGATTAGCTGTCTCTAACAAGAAGTCTTTGTATTTGGTCTAATTCTACCCTTATTTATCTGAAAATTTGAACATGTTTAGTTTCATGTCAACCTTGCAGATAGAATAATGTTACAAAATCAGTTCTATTATGTTGACTGTTCCATACTTCTATTTTCTTGAACGATGATATATTTTATTTTGTTTTCGATAGTAAAGCATTAGATGTCGAGAATTTGGCAACTACAATCTGTTTAGACAGTACCTTCCTTCTCAATTTATTTTTTCTTTTCATGTCTTGAAACTTAACTTTGTTACATTTGAGTCTTCAATGTCCATTATCAGTGATTGCTAATGTGAGTCATTGTGATCTTGTTCGTTCGTTAGTTCAAGATTCAACACATTTTTCATAATAGTCGAAAACTTATTGCTTATGTTAACTTTTTACTCATAATCTCCATTGAAAAGTTATTTTGGAAGTAATAAATTGCATATGTAAAAACTCGAAGGGGTAGTTCAGTGGTCAGATTTTGAATTTGTTCCCTAATAGTTACTAGTTTGAATCCCCTCAGGGCCACTGAGGCGAGTATCGACTGTAAACTTTAGGGCCCAGTGAAATTAGTCGAGGTGTGTAAGCTGATTCGGACACTCATGATCGGTAAAAAAAAAAAATGTATATTTAAACTCATTTCATCTCATATTGCTGAAAACCTCTATTAATTACTTGATGTTTTAAAAATACATTCTTGAGCTTTAATTGTATTCTCTTGTTGTGAATTGCAATGTCGAACTGCATTGCTTATGTGACTAACAATCTTGATGAAATGACGTCGATAAGATATAAGACGTTTTTTCCATGTACAATTTCAATTTTAATATGTATTTATTATAGGTGGATATTTATTTTACTTATTTCTAAGTTCTAACCCTGTTTTTATCTTGGTTTAAGACAAGAGTCTTGTCGTCTTTACATAACTAAATTCATTAAATCAACCAATAGATATATGGTTTGTGACTTTATATAAACTATGCTTATATAAAGAAAATTTTAACCTGGTTTTGCACATTTGCATGCTTGGTCAACTAAATTTGTTGGGACTTCATACCAGTAGGAAAATTCAAATAATGCTTCAAGGTGTGATTACATTGAAGATGATTGAATTGTATTTTATAGTTGGGATGACTGGATCTTTGTCTTTTGGTAAGCGTGTCCTTAATTTATAATGAAAGCAAGGACAAGACCAGCTGTCCGTCTTGTAGAGCCTGGGGAAACATTGAACGTGTTCTTAGTTTTTATGTGAACCTTCTTATATTGTCACAAGATTACAGCTCAATTAACTTTACTCTTAATAGAATCACATTGTTTTCTTAAACAACAATCGATTCAGAAATTATTTATAAATTACAATGAATATCGTGAGGCCAAGCCTCAATTGGCAAGAGAGAAACTTAAAGGTACTGAATATCGTGAACTTGGCATTATTGTGTAGAGAGTAAGCTTCACAAAGGCGCTACATAAATTCAAAAAACCGCCCGTCGAGACATAGTCCAGTGGTGTTAAAGACATGAGTGAAATAGTCTCAGCTTTGTTAGCAGTCGCAGTATAAGGATTCCATTCCTGAAATATGGAATTGGACTTTTTTTGGGTATCAGTGTACGGACAAATTTTTGTTCTTTGGTCTGTTGGGGCACACCCGCGATTTACTTCCCTTACGATGCTCTAGGGACGGGACTGTGGGGGCTTTCAAAATTGGAGTTCAACATTTTTTAGAAATTCAAAAAACCGGGTGATGTAGCAGGAAAAAAATGAAGAAAAAAGAAATAGGAGGAAAAAGATATTTTTATGTCCTAACCGGCTAACCCGCCAAATGTAATTTTCCTCAAATGGAAGCCCTAAAAACACTGAGAAAGGGGGTTTGTAGTGGAGAAAATTTACAACTCCGAAAGTAGAGAAAATCAGTCCATTTTGTCTACTCCGATCGCACGCTCACCACAACTGATTTCACATGCCACATTGTCCATTTCCTGTTCAAAAATTGTCTTCCAATCGCAACCCACATACGGTGATTGCCCAATTGAGCTACACTTTTTGTAGATTTGTTTAGTATTGTGCATTTTGAACTTGTAATGTTTCTTTAAATGCTTTATGTGAATGTTCGACCTATTTTGCAATCTGGGAATGGAATCCGAAAATATAGTATTTAATTCCCTGCATATTTTGGAAGTGAGAGTGTGATTTCGTTGCATCCATATTTGTTGATGAAATGCATTATGTGATTTAATGCAAGGAGTTAAGTGGCATGAAATTAAGACGGAATGTATTTTCAAAAATGTCGGTCATTATGTTGATGCAATTCGTAATTGTATTCAAAAAGTTTTAAGTTGTATGATGCTTCCTTTATGAGTATATATTACCTGAACTGCGAAAATAATTGTTGTTCCAGGTATTTATTTTAGCGGTATAATGGTTTTATATGTTTTAAATGAACAAAGTTTCAACCCACAGGAGCGTAGTTGAAACACTATTATTGTAAGCAAAAGTTCTAACTCGCAAGAGCGTAATTAGAACACAAAGTATATGACTAGAACGACCACACAAAACCAAATGAAATAAGGAGTAGAAAAAGAAATCCTAGGTGATTATAAATCTTTCCTTAAAACAAATTGTCCTGCTACGGTGCTCACGATTAAATGGCAAATGTCTCCCAAAATATAATGAATACACACTTGTGGTAGCTGCACTTCAAACCACAAGAACAGGAAAATTTTATGAGAATGAGATAAAGATGAATTATAAGAGAAGAATGAATGTTCAATGTAATGGTATACTCAAAATCACGTCCATATAGTCCTATTTATAGATTTAGAAAGGGTGCAAATAGAGTAGTTTGAGCCAAAACCTGCATCCTTTCAAAAAGTAGCAATACTTCATTTCTTTCAATTTTGGACCGTAATTTCTCATTCATTCGAAATTGGTTTCAAGATTTCAAATACACCATGACGATCAGCTCGACGAGTAGAATAAGTTATCTATTTACTTTTATAATTTAACCATCGAATCAAGTCTAAATATTTGGCTGAAGTTGACATGAAGTCATACCTTTTCATTTTTTTTTTTCCAATTTTACACTTAACCAATTTTCAGTTAATTTCGGTTATTTTTGAACCAATTTGAACAATCCCTCACATGAATGGAAATTCGAATATGCACATGTAATGCTATGATGTGATGCATTGTAGAGAGAGAGCAGAAAGCCACTGCATCGGGGCAAGTAACTTCTGGTCTTAACCTCCCGTAGTGAAATACCATCAAACTTACTCGGCTACGTAGTGAATGTGATGTCTTGAACCATTCAACCTTCAGTGTAAGTCAAGATAACAATACTCACACAAATGTCTTCTTTATTCGGTAACTTGTTTCTCATGACTTGGTTCATTTTGGCCCTGAACCCATCTCGATTTCATGAGTGTTTAAAGAGTTCAAGTCTTCAATAATTGTTATTGAAGCGGCTCCACTTCACACTTATATAGGTGACCTCCTATTAAGAATATTCTGCCACACTCCAATTGATTTTAATCAAGATATAGGAATCATTAAAAGATTAACTTAACCTTTAACCACTCTGCAGAAAGCATTTTCGTATCATAGGAATGAGTTAGGAAATTTGATTTCCTGAGTGTTTCATGGAATCCTCACAGATTAATTGTTCATTTGAACCAAGATCTTGAGATCTCCAGTTAACAAGGTAGGGTTACCATTGCAAAGACTCTTATGTAGTTAGGGATGTCAATTGGGCCGAGTCGGCTTGCGGCTCGTCGGCTCTGCTCGTGGAAAAGAGGCTCATAGCCGAGCGGGCCTCGCCCTGAGGCAAGCCGAGCCCGCTCGGCTCGCCATGTAGATGAGCCGCTCGTGGGCGAGCCCACGAGCCGGGCTCATGGCTCGTCAAAAGCGACGAGCCACGAGCGGCTCGTGGCTCGTTGAGCCTGTGACCAAAACAATTACTTTTTCAGTGACCGTTTTGGTCACTGAACTTTTTTTATTTTCCCCTCCCCTTTTTTTTACTATAAATACCCCCTCCCTCCAAAGATTTCTTTTCATATCAATTACTCTTCCAAGATTACAGCCCTCTCAACTCTCTTTTATTATATCAATTATTGAGTTTTTACTCTCTTGTGCTG